ACCCCTTAGCTTGTAGTTCTTCATTTGAGGGCACACGTTGATTGCTGTTTTCTGAAGAGTTCATCCTACCACAGATCTAAGGAGGTTGCACAAGTCTCTACAAAGCTGTCCTACATCCCGTGATTTGCTTAAGGTGTATCTCTCTGGTGGTGAAAACTTGGGAGGATTTTTCCTTAGAAAAAAAATGACTGGGGACAATGTCTGTAGTTCCTAGACACCTGAAAAACCCAACAAGGCCACTTCCTTCTGGAGCAGGTTCACCCACTGGAAGTGGGGGAATTAAGTGAACGTGATGGCCGCAGACTTCCATTTGTCTGGGACTGGAGAGTCAGAATGTACAGACCAACCCATCTTCTAAACAAGGCTCCTCAAAGAGAGTGAAAAACGGGAGGGCGGACAACAGAGAGCGGACGCAATTACCAATCCGCCGGCCTCTCTGCTTTTATTTTGTTGGTGGATTTCTGCCTCTCTTTTACCAACACGAACCTATCTCCCAGCTCTACTGCGGTTAACGCTGGTAGGATATTCTCAAGGGATCAGCATCATAACTCCTCAGGGATCTCCATTAATCATGAGTGGAGTGAGTTGAACAATTCATTTGCTCTCACCAACAGACAGACTAAACCCGATCCAGGCTGACGCAGTTAGGAGCGTGAACTCACATGTGCTATGCAAGCCAAGCCCCAAAGTACACACTACTAAAACATTCGGAGCTCATATGCAAGTGCACAGTGTGATCCACGAACATTTATATGACGAGAATGTGGTTAAAAATCATGATAGCTAGAACAGTATTTAGCTTAAACCATTTACATTTGTATTGTGGTCCTGACATTCTTCAGACAGGAATTAGAAGCATTCCTGGGAAAATGCCCTTCACCCCCCCATTTAAGTAGTTATTTTCAAGGAGGTGCCTCATACATGAAGCCTTAAATCCCTCTCTACAAATGATACATCTTAGCTGCTGTCAGAAACAGGGTGCTCTAGTACAGAACGCATCCTTCTCTACTGCTTTTTGCGAGTCATGCACAGCTCCCATCCAGCCCTTCAGTGTAGAATCCAGCATAAAAACTACGCACAGTATTCCTGAAATAAAGGCGTGCACAGGCACATGATAGAATTCTACTGTCATCGCGGCTGAGAGGTTTGTGTATGTCAGTTGCACCAGTCGGAAGTTTTTGCTCTGGCAGAAGTTTAAAGAAGTGGATGTTACTGTTCTACCTTGCTGTTGGTTCTTCTCTAGCGCAAGCTCTGCATGGGGAAATACTCTCTGCAAGGCTTCTAAAATTCCTGCTAGTGTGTTTTCCAGCAGTGGTTTTGACATAGGTGGTAGCGCTCGCCCAGGTGAAGCCACAGCCCTCTGTGAAGCTGGAACAGTCTTCTGCATCGCCACGACAAAATCCTTCGCTGTTATTTCAATAGAAGCGACATCTAACTGCAGTTTCTCACTACTTTGGTAGATCTGAGGATAGCGCCGGCGCAAAGCACACAAGACAGCCTCAGCACACAAGGATTTAATATCAGCGCCACAGTATCCTAATAAACAAAACAAGAATCAAATGTTACGTTGGTCTCAGGCAACACAGAAGTCAAGGCCAAGGCTGCCCAAGTGCAACACTGAAAGATTTTGTATGCAGCCACAAATTAACAGGTTCAGAGAGAACTGACAGGGTTACTGCACTGCAGAGAAGTTCTGTTACGGGGCTCGCAGCCTGAGGCCCAGCACCTTGGAAGCAGCCTCCTAATCAAAGCTCTGCTCCTGAGGAAGATGCCCAAAATCCATTCAATGTTCTGAGAGACAAAGAAAATTAAAAGAAAAGAAGCATCTGACTTTGTCTGCCCCCAAGGCGAGCCAGCTGCCTCACTGCCTCGCCCTGCAGCAAGGCACAAGAGCTCGAGGACTGCCCGGTAGAAGCTCAGGTTCCCAAGGACTCAGTCACGCGCAGCAACTCACCTGGTTTTCCAACTTACCAACGCATTTTTCAGCTAGCTCTTCAAGAAACATGTCCAATGGTTTAGGGGTCCAGTCTCGTGTGTGAATCTTGAAAATCTCTTTTCTAGCCTGGAAACAAAATGGTTGCATTGGAGTTTGTCCTAAGATTTCTCTTAAAATCCAGCAATTCTCAACTTGTTACATTAAACTTTTCTCCCGGGGGCCTGCAGCCAAATAAAAGGCATTTATAGCTTCCATAAAAAGTTAGTTTCCACAAGTATCAAACCTAATGACCCTGAGGAAAAAAAACTGTAGTAAAAAACTTCTCTGCAAACAGCGATTTTTCATCACAGAAAATTCTCTCAAATTTCTCTGATCTTAAGACTTTCACTGAAGTATTTCCTGCTACAGAGATTAATTATTGCAGATTTCTAGAATTCTTCCCCAGGAGGGAATCACACTAGTACATCTGTTTCATGGCACCTCCTCTCCTGCCCCGGAAACCAGATAAAAGCCAGAGACAAATGTTTGTGTTAAATACACTCTTTGGTGCACTTCTACTGGCCTTCAACCCAACAAGCATTTTATCCTTTCCCCAAAAAGCGGTAGTAAAACAAGTATCAGTGACAGCCAGAGAAAAACCACAAAAACAGGGTTCCAGTTTCGCACAGTATCTTCCCCCCCCAATATTTTTTGGTTGCTTGATACGTATTTTTTCATTGCTTAGCTGTCGCCATTGCACTAGAAGCTTCCCGAACCCTGCACCTGGGCAGTGTACCACATCCTTGTCCAACTCTCTGTTAGTAAGTGCCAGTGAGAAGGTCAGATCCGAAAATACGTGTAGGTGTCTCCCAGGATACCCAGCCTGGGAACAATCCAACGCAGGTACATCTACTGTCTGTTCACAAACCAAGAACTGAGAGCAAAGGCACTTCAGGAGCAAAGTGCCTAAGTGGATGAAATAAGGAAGCAAACATGAACCACTTGGGGAATGAAAAAATTTTAATTCACTCCAGCACCAGCCTTAAGAAGAGTTTTTTGTCAGCAGAAAGGAATTCTTGTGCACACACCATGTCTTTCATTTTCAAGATGAGATTGCAGTACTTGATAGCTAATTCAGACATGCATCCTTACTTACACATTTCAGGGACTAGCAACATCCCATTTTCCTGGCTGGTCCCAGTGAAACCAAAACTAATTATAAAACCAACTCCCTATTGAAATCAGCTGAATCCTACATACTCAGTACCAGATCTGCCCTCCACAGTACAACACAGTCTCTCCAGATAGCCCTCCTTCCCCCAAGTTGTGCAACGCTGATTTTGACTTTAACTGCCCCGTGATGCTGCATTGTCAGGTACTTCTATCATAAAGATGGACTTTGCCACCTCAGCATTAAGGCTGAGTTGAAGTTCTGACCTCTTTATTCGGCAAGCTGAAGAGGAACTCTCGATCAAAGCGTCCGGGTCTTCGCAAAGCTGGATCTACAGAATCCAGTCTGTTGGTGGCTCCGATTACCACAATCTCTCCTCTGCTGTCTAAGCCATCCATAAGTGCCAGAAGTGTTGATACAATAGAGCTAACAGAAAAATTACTAGTTTAGTAAATTTTGTTACGTTCTACACATGACCTTCTCCAGTGATCTCTCAAAAATGACAAGCTTTTATTGATGAGATGCTGGTTAGTGAAATACTCATTTTAGCACTTCAAAAAAACAGACAAGGTAACACAGAGCGCATGCTGTTATCAAGCTTAGTGAATTGTGTTCAATTATTGCTTAAAAATCATCTGACATTTTGTAGCACTCAGTTACTAGTTTTCAGGAGAAACGAGTGGGTCACATTAAGCTAAATAGGTTGGGGGCTTCTTTTCACAAAGATCAAGCAGCTTCTGTGTAGATACATAAAATGTACTACCTGTGAATGTGGTCTTGTCTACTGGACCGCACCGGAGCAAGACCATCTATCTCATCAAAGAAAATAATGGAAGGTCGCATCTGGTAGGCCTAGAAGGAAAACCCAGGAATATCGACACAAGTAAAACAGCACCATTTTAAAGAGAAAATGCATGGAAAACATTATGGTTGGAGCGCTAGATTTTTCACACTAGCATTGGGGATCTCTACTCACTGAGTTAATGGAGTAAGTGGCACAAGTAACACAAGACAGCAGCCTATGTCAGCCCGCTGAGACGGGGTGACAGGGAACAAATCACAGCAGTTCTTACAGCTATTTGGCAACCGCCGAAAACAGAGCCGGGACTTAAGCTTCTGGAAGCAACCTTCCATTCTGAATTCAAACGACCATGCTTTCAGCCTGCATCTGTTTCCCTCTGATCTAAAGCCACGATCTCCTGCCTCCTGCAGCCTTTTTTGTGGCTGTATTGAAAAAATGAGTGAGTTCTCCTTAAAAACACTGACCGCAGAAAAGGACAGTTACAACTTGGACAGAACACACAGCGCATTTTGGCCTTACCTGATCAAATAATAAATGAAGCTGTCGTTCAGATTCTCCCACCCATTCACTCAGGTAGTCGGCACCATTTCTCATAAAAAAGGCTATTCTCCTGGCACCTTGGCTACATTCATTAGCAAGGGCACGAGCAACCAGTGTCTTTCCAGTTCCTGGTGGACCATGGAATAGAAAGCGTCTGCAATTGAAAGAAAAAAGATTCACCTAGGAAAAAAGCCTCGTGGAAAAGTAGCTCTTACTACCTCCACCCCTAAAACACCCAACTCTTCTCTCCTAACCGAAGCACTTCATGCATTAGACAGTGGTAGCAGCTCAAGTGTGAGAAAAGTCAAAACAGATGGAGGTTTTTGTTCCTACACAATTCAAGAAGGCAGCAAACAAAAAGAGTACAGAGGACAACGCAGATGTAGAAAACCTCGAGAAAAGATCACAGTATCCCAGAAGGACCCTTTCAGAGCTGCTGACAAACTAACAGGGGTGGTTACAGCACCGCGGAGCCAAACAAGAACAAACATCAGCACAGAATCTGAGACTGGGCTAACGTGCGAATCAGCAGTTTACTCTTCAGCGAGACACTGCACATTCATTCTTGTGTTCACAGAAGGCAAGATTTGATAGCGAAGCATTTAATTCTGAAAAGCTTGAAGTTGCTGGATTTGGTTTCCGGGGAATTCTAAAGCTGGGAAGGTATTCTGCATTTCCAGATAAATATAGCCATAAACTGGAAAAGCCAATGCACTGCTGTTTCAAAGAGCATTTCAACAAATAACGGAGCAAAACACAGATTTCATTTTGTTATTTGTAATACTTTTAACGTTACTGAAAGCAAAGAAATTAAAGTTGTATTTCAATATACCATGATTGAGTTTTGCTGATCAAGAACCTATAAAGTCAACATCTCTAAAAATTGCATTTCATAATGCACAACGAGTTTAGCTGGGTAAGGAGCAGATCGATTCCTACTCAGCCCAAGCACAACAAACACTACAAGGTCCTATCCATTGGAAAACTGATACTTCCGCACTTCAAAAACAGAGTTGGTGGGAGAGCCAAGTGGACTTCGAAGAAACCAATTACAGTTGACTAGCAGGAGATAATTCCAATTAGAATTTTTAGGTTTAAACAATCTCTGTTACCTTGGCGGCTGAATTTTGAATCTCTCAAAGACTTCCGGGTAAAGCAAGGGAAAAACGACCGTCTCTTTTAGAGATGAAATGTGGTCAGAAAGGCCACCCACGCCATCAAATCGTACCTAAAGATAAATTCAACAGAACACATTGGATAAGTTAAAGAAAGCTGCAACCTCGATAAGGTTCCATCAGAAATTATCTGTCAGCACAAAGGAAATGTCCTGGGCAATTTTCAAATTGCTCCAGAGAAAACTGTAAACCAAGGCATCTGTAGGCAGCACGCTACTGAAGGCTTTCACCAACACTGACACAATGAACTAGAAATACTTACCGAACAATCTATTTTCATTGGATCCACATCAGCCAGACTTGCTCCGATTTCCATTTGATCCTGGTGAATTCCCTTTAACTCCTCTTCCCCAAAGTTAAGTGGAAGACACCTGATTTGAATTAAGGACAAAGAGAAAGGCACTTTCTAACTTCAGGTGCAGCTAGAAGATTTTTGTTTTCATCATCATGGCAAGGGAATGCAGAAGACCTTATAAATGAGCATAAACTTCCTAAATAGTTAAATATACCTTCAAACTCTTTTGCATTTAATGTCCATGAGTAAATAAAGGAAAATGGGCGCTCCAGACATTAAACTGAGTTAATGATTTTAACACAAATATCCATGCTAGTCAACACAGCACACGCATGAATGCAAGCTTAGAACAAGTTATTCCGGATGCGGAGACTGTGAACTGACATTGATTTGCGTGATGGAAGAACCCCCCCCAAAACACACCAACATCTTTTAAAGATTTTTTGCTCCTACATTCAAAAAGTTACAGCCCAAGTGGATACTTATTTCATGCAGATTAACATTGTACAGGCTGCCAATCACTGCTGGTGCATCCTGAGGACTCTGGGGTTTGTGTGCCACGGGACACACATCAGAGACATCAAGCTGAAAGCTTATTTGTTAGTCTGTTATCAAAATACTTTTTCTAGAGCATTTGTTAAGTAACAAAACCTCCATCATTTCCTCTATAACATTTTCTGTTATGGTGGTCTTCTTTCTGAACAAACTACTGTAAAGCACAGGAGCAGTACAATTTCACATTAAAAAATTACATAAAAGTTTTCCTCCCCCTATTCCCACTTACAAATCAAACTGCTGATCAACAATCAATTCTAAAAATCCAGTTTTAGAGAGTGCAGTTACAGCTGTCAGTGCCAAAAGGTATGATTAAATATTGCCACAATTTAGAAAGCGTACAAGAGAGTAACACTTCAGGGTTAGGCAGATGCAAACTCCTCCCAGGTAGACCCCTCCCTCCCCTGTTCTCCATTTTCATGAACCTTCTCAAAGCTCTGCTATGGCTGCGCTTCCTGCGCCTCTCAAAATGCTCTTCATCATCAGATGAGGAAGAGGATGTAGAGTCACTGTTGTGGACTGCGTGTCTCCGTCTGCAAACATTTAAACAAACAAAATTTAATTTTTCTTAGGAAGGCAGAACGCTTCATTATTTCCCAACAAATTTCATAAAAAACCTACTCATTTTGTCCCATCCCTCCCTCTCACACACACACAAAAATACAGTTTCACTCAGAGTTATGTATCCACTCTGTGAAACATAAGCCTTTTAAACTCATATAAAAATTTGGCTTCAAAATCCCTTCCTCCTTCCGTAACTGTCTGCTTTCAAGGATGCTAAAGAAAGTGCTCACAGCTAGCAAGAGACGGCATTCTCCATGCTCTAACTGCTTACAGCATCCAAAACCCCTTTGTCATTACTACTGCAATTTATAATTTAGAATTTCTTTTAGCATTTGTCTTGTTTACGGATTCATACATAAACATTAACTGGTTCCAAAGAGAAACCAGAATCCGTATTTGAGTGATTAAAAAAAAAAAAAATCCATTAGAACTTCCACACAGGCTCTCCCTCTAACTAAATTGTCTCCAGTCTTAAGAAATCATTTGTATCCTTCAAGATTAAGTAGTGTCAGATTTTTCAGAGGGACATTCTGGCTTCAATTCCAGAGCAAAAGAACTTCAGTTACACAATCTCAGCCACAACCTCCATCATCACCTTATCAGTGACCACAATTACTGCTTTTTCAAAAATCTATTGGCTAACAAAAAGTATTGCCTTCCCCCCGTCCCCCGCCCTTAGTATTTGTTTTCTTTAGACCCTCAGACTACCACAGCAATAATCGCACTCTTCATCTGGAATGACCACCAACCCCAAACCCCCTGAAAGCGTTACTCAGTAACGGGACTGACAGCGCTGTTGATAGATGCGAAACCACACACCAACCTGCCGGTATTTCTGCAGCATGAGCCTTGTGACTGAGCACTTCTAAAGGAGTATCTCTGTCTGACAGGGGAAGACCGGCTCGAAAAAAATATCTTACGTTGTCTTGGTTCTGTTGAAAGCAAAGAATTCAGAATAATGTTGCAAACAACTTTCAGAGAAAGCAGGATAATGAAAGGGGCAGAAAACGTGATGTGTTTCACCCATCCCCAGTTCCAGTGGAAGATTCAAGTGACTGGGGGGGGCGGGATTTTTTTTGAATCAGTGCACAGAAGTGAAAACACACACACCTGCTTTTGAAGGAGCACTGAAAACCACAAGAGTAAGATTATCAAGTCTGTTTAATTACTGTTCTTTCAAGGATACACTGGTCATTTCTTTACTGAAAAACAACAATAAGTATGCCAAACGGCAAAGAAATACAATGTGCACAGGATACACGCATTTAATAAAATTTACTTGCAGAACGAAGGCAAGCAATTTCAAATAGAAGTTTAGTATGTGTATATATCTTTATGTACAAAATCAGCTTTTAAGAGAAACTGTGCATATAACCTACTTTCCAGTGGAGCTTGATAGCGCTCAACAGCTTTCCTCTGTCGAAAGTAGTAACGCTTTCGAGTGTCTTCCACATCGTCATCTTTATCTTCACTTTCTTCTGATGAAACTACTGTACATCGACATATTGTGAAGCTGGTTTAGTACTGTTGCAAATTATATTAAATTTAAAATGCACTACACAGATGCCTACAGGTTTTACTACTACCTTCATGTTAATGACACAACAGATCTGAAAACCTGCAAAACGTGAAGACCAATTTATGCAAGACATGTTCCAGAAATTATAAAACACAGAGAAGCACACATCTAGATATTGTTCTGTCCTTGCTGGAATTGCTGGGTGACTTCTCATCAGTCCTAATAACAACAACTCTGTCATCTTGCTCAGCTAAGATGCAGCTTCTGTGAAAACCACTATTTCAGAAAGTCATTTCTTGTTATTTTGAGAAAGCGTTTCAAGGAAACATTTTTAATACTCTATAGTGGTAAGACTAAGCGTGGCAATCTAGCTCCAAGTCCTAGCTCTGCCACAGATTACGTGAGCAGGAACGGGCAAGGCACAGGTTTGAACTTCCCCAATCAGCAAATACCGTCAAATTAATACAGTTTATGCCACTAGATTCTGTAACTTCAAGATTTTTTTCAAGAAAGATGGTAAAAATGCAAAAAAACAAGAGTATAATTATCTAGCAGGTTCTTAATAACAACCTCTCACATTAATAGCTGGACACCAGGGGAGCAATGTACATGCTCTGTTCACCTACTTGCTCACTGAAATGAAGTATATTTTATTCCTTGGAAAGCACTACCCTTTTTTTATTCCCTCCAAAAGATCTTGCATTCAGAAAGCACTGTGACAAGTTACACAAGATACAGACAGCACTTGGAAAACTGAGAAATGATTTTGGCATCACTGACACCCCCAGCCCTTAGTACTCCAACACTTTTGTCACGAAGGCACAAACTACTCGTCTGCTCCTCTAGTCCCTCCCCTTGCTTCACTCTCCTTCTTTACACCAACACTGACACACTCTCCTCACTCCTTCCTGACATGCTTTTCATCATAAAAGTATATTTTAGGTTTTTTCCCCAATTTAAAATTGGAGTTTTCACTTTGATCACAAATGAATTGCCCCATATTCTTCTTTCCCATTCAACATATTATGTATAATTACTTTCTACAAGTCTCTCCTGCCCAGCACCCTGAGATCCACACACTTGAACCAAGCCATATGGCTCCCCGTATAGACTGCCCATGCCTTGTATCAAAGCTGCTCTTCTTAAAGCCTTGAGTTGATATTCTCCTGCCCAGATCTACAAATGATGGAGTCCCTTATCAGCCAAATGCCCTTGGCACCCTTGATCTGTTTCTTCCTGTTAATGCCTTGCTCTACCGTAGTTTTCTGTAGGTCAGCCTCTCGCTGGACTTCTCCTGCAGCTCCACATGTCCTCTCGCTGCTCTGCGAGGAGGTCTGAACTAACAACAGGCCACGAACTGTTCTCTGGCCTGTTTGTGATGAGGAACAAGATCACCCCAGCGCTCACTAACACCTGGATGTCTAGCTTGAACCTTTTTGTAGGTCTCCGTTGGCAGTGGTCAAATCTTCCCCAGTCGGTGTAACATGTACAAGATACTGTCCTCCCTGGGTGTTGTGTAAATCATCTCTCATTCAAGTTCTGATGGTCCGACAGGTGACCAGGCGCAGGGCACAGTCAAGTGCAGGGCACAGTCAAGCGTACTAAGCAGCAAACTATTTTACATGCGACTGGCCCTTTTTATCCCCTTGCCCCTCTATTTTCCCACTCTTGTTCCTCCCAAAATCACCTAAATCCCTCCCCTTGTCCCACCTTTGGTTCCTGCCCTAAAGATCCTATAATAAGCCCTGTGGGAACTGCTCTTCCCCCGCATCCCACCCTATGTCCCACCCCCAGGCAGGAAGCCCTTAGCCCAAAAGTGATCTGGGGAGCTGGTCCCCATGACCCATCCAGATGGGTTTCACGCCTGGACACTGGGGCTGGTGGCTCTGCTGGGACAGCCCTGGCAGTGGCCCGGGCAAGGTGGATCAAGGAGGAGCAGCCAAGTCCTTTTTTTCTGCTCCCGCCTGCCATTGTGCACCCCTGTGCTCCTCTGGGCTTCTGCAGACAGGACTTGGACAGGCTGGTGGTGGTGGCTCTGCTGGGACAGCCCTGGCAGTGGCCCGGGCAAGGTGGATCAAGGAGGAGCAGCCAAGTCCTTTTTTTCTGCTCCCGCCTGCCATTGTGCACCCCTGTGCTCCTCTGGGCTTCTGCAGACAGGACTTGGACAGGCTGGTGGCCCTGGGGGTAGCCCACATCCTTTTCTGTGCTTAAGTATGGTCCTGGCTCATTCCGTTCCATCCAGAAAGCTCCTACAAGGATCGCTGGACTGCCTGCCTTAATCACAACTATCATTCTCCTCAAAAACTTCAAGTTTCCCCCCCTCATTTCAAACAGAAAGTTAACGTGGCCTTTTACAGTTGAACCTTATTTCTCATGTTATTTCCCACTGAGCACCAGGATGGCAGCTCCTAAGCCGAGGCCCGGACAGCAGCATCCACCAACTACCTGCTTTTTTAAATGAGCACTGCTGTCCTCTCCCCTGCTGATCTTCACGCTCGGGAGGAGCCTTCCACACACATCTGGCAGCTTCCCTTCTTTCCCGAAAAACCTTGCTGTGCTGCTCAAAGCCGTGAAAACTGTCGCGCTCCTGCGGCAGCGAGGTCACTCTTTCTCCGTCTCGAGTAATTTCAAGAAATTTCATCCATTTCTTTGTATTCCCACCTGTCTACAGCCATCTGCTGTAGCGTTTTGGCAAAGCACTGTTTGTTTTTTTTTTTCCCCCCTCTGAATAGCTGTTCTGAGCTCACTACAGTACAGTCCTGGAGTCCATGTCTATGGCTTGTAATGTCAAGAGCAAGACGCATTTTTTTAAGAGAAGAAAAATACCCCCTAGTTTAGCTTGTGACAAGGCTTTTGGCTAGAGCTTAAACAGAACTAACCTATAAGGCTACCTTGATTATCAGCTATTTCTTTGTCAGCTCTTTGGATTTCGTTCTGTCCTCGGGAGTAGATATCGAGGTTTTCCTAATTAAAAGAAACAAGAAAGATCAGTTACCAATCTGCACAAAACCTGACACAGGCATATTTGGTGCCTATATAGTAACATCATCAAGACACTCCAATATACACAAAAGATTAAATTAAGGTACAGGAGGAGAGATCAGGAACATTATTCTGGCACCCATGATTAGTAACAAGGATTTCTGCTCTAAAACAGGATTTAGTGCATGTGATAGCTAAATACTTGTCCGGATATAAAACTGAGTGCATCAATTAATCACAGGTTAATAATGTAACAGTGTCAGAGAAACCAGGAAAAAGCAATTCCTACCAGACAAAAAAAAAAACAAACACAAAACAAAACACAGAGGCACTTGAGAGATGATATATAAACTGCTATGGACAATTCTGTTTTCATTTAAAAAAAAAATTAAAAAAAAAATGCAGATCTAAACAAAAGAACTATGAAAACAGGCTATGAAGATGTTTAAAAAAACAAAGTGCCCTGTCATTCAAAAGGACAGTAGCATAGTTTAATACAGCAATGCTACAACAGAGGAAATCTGGTTGCTGTATATAACTTTAATGTAAGTTCCTCTAGGGACAGAGGACTACTTAAGCTCACAGGCAAAGCTTGCACAAGAATAAACATACATAAACTAGACATCAATGAATTCAGTTTTCAGTAAGATTTGAAGTGAAAACCCAAGCCCAGAGACAGCTGCTTGCATACAGCGTCCATTCAAAAATCATAATGCAATTCAGAGAGCATAGTGTAAGACATGCATTTCAGCATCTAACTGCTATTTCAGGTCTTTTGAAGAAGAAAGTTCCTCCACCCTTAGGGCACATCTGTGGCATGACCATGCTAGTAAGATGTTAAATTATAGTTAGAGATCAAAAATAAATGTTATTTTAGACTACGCTATTCTTTGGAAGAAGTTATGTCAGCTAAATTAAAATTACAACTAAATAACTTCCCTATATGAAATACACTATTTATACAAAAATAGTAAAATAAATTAGTATTTACTTCTTCTGCATCATGGAACACCCCAAGGTCTTCCATCATTTGGCGTCTACGCATCTTCTCCATGTCATCCATTTTTTGCAAGACTGCTTCTGCAGTACTAAGATAAAAAGTTGACATGTAAGAGCAAAGATAGGCAAGTACAAAAAACCCCATTTAAAACAGTACACATAATCTGTATGACATTTTAATACAGTACGCACAAAGCAAGAGCCCTTAACACTTGGCCAAGTTTTTAGACACCACTTAAAAATTAGGTCAAATGTTGATTTTCTTATAGATTTAAGAACAAGCGTTTGAGGATTTGCAAAACTACACTATTTTCATATTTATTGTCCCTCTCGGTGAGCACAGTAAAAAAAAAAAAAAAAAATCTATTTAAGTAGGACAAAAATAAGAATTCTGAAGATCCTAGTAAGACAACAGAAAGAAATTACGGCAGCTCTTAGGTTGATCTGCATGATAGCATTCAGCCATTTTTAGTTCACAGCCTTACTCAGACAACAGGGTGCTGATTCTTCTCTTAACCATAAGTTTCACATTGATTTCCCATGACTATATATGCTGGAAAAACATCCCACTCCGGTTACACTTTGCAAATCTTTCAGAAAACAATGTCAGTTTGGTCCTTACAAAGAGAATTAAGCCATGGACAGACAGGCAGAAACACTGGACTACTTCACTTTGGCTCTATCCAACTCTCCTCAGTATCTTCACTCAACCGAGAGGTATGAAAACATTTGTAAGCATGGAAGGAAAGCTAATTAAAAATGATGGTGCTTCTGATGCTAAGAAAATTGATTTCGAGGGCAAATTAAATCTACCGAAAGCCACAACATCAAGTGATTGTTTTGGTTCACAAGACAACACATAAACCCACCAAACCCATACATCAAAGATGCTCTAGCATGAAGATCTCTCTGCAACTGGCAATCCCAAAACGAAGACACCCGTGGCAAATTTAAACATTGGCTGTACCCAAACTGGTTAGACATGAAGTACCTTCCACGTACTTTCCCCCTGCACACACTCTCAGACCTGGGAGTCTTACACAGCCACAAGCATCTATTTCCAAAACACAGCTTAAACAGCTTCACTGCAAAGTATCAAGGCCCACACCTTACACGAATCAATATCTTACCAAGAATTATGGGACATACCTGCACTGGAAGAGGAGGAAAGCACAACAGCTTGCTAATAAAGCTCATTTTAGTACCTTTGCAAGATAATGAAAAAACCCACTTACTTTGTTATAAGTTTGTCGAACAAAACAGATTCATTTGTAGTGCTGTAACGACTTCGTCGAAGTCTGCAGCTTCGGCGGACCTCCAGATCTCCATTTTCTTCATGGACTTGTTCTGCAGCTTTTGCATCAGCTCTGGTCTTCAATATTCTGGTGACTAAAAGGGATTAATATATAAAGTATTTTGAGACTGAAAATATGTTACTGCCTTATTTCACCATTGCTCTAGTAAAATGTAAAAAAATTTGCAGTGGATCATGGAATCATCGAGTGGTTTGGGTTGGAAGGGACCTTAAAGGTCATCTAGTCCCATTCCCCCTGCCATGAGCAGGGACATCTTCCACTTGACCAGGCTGCTCAGAGCTCCATCCAACCTGGCCTGGAACACTGTCAGGGAGGGGGCATCCACAGCTTCTCTGGGCAGTGTTTCACCACCTTCATGGTGAAGAATTTCTTCCTAGTATCTAATGTAAATCTGCTCCCTTTTAGTTTAGAGCTGTTCCCCCTTGTCCTATCACTATACACCCTTGTGAAAAGTCCCTTTCCATCCTTCCTATAGGTCCCTTTCAGGTACTGGAAGGCTGCTGCAAGAATTTTTTCTTTAAATACTGAATTAGAAGTTATTGTCACAACCACAGCATTCAACTTAAGGTCTAGAAGCTAAGAAACGCTTCAAGACAAACTTCCAAACACCAAAGAACTCAAACGCCTGCCTGCTTTTAAGAAAAGATCTGCCCCGTATTTACCACTCGGCATCCTTTGCCATGGGTTTGCTACTTGCACTATCATTAAAAATATTGACAGGCCCCTAAGAAAGTAGTAGATAGTCACTGCGTGAGTATAAACGCAGCTATGCTTTGATCTCATCATCACTAACGATGATGCTAAGTTTGAGCTCAGTAAGTAACGATTTACATTGTGCAATTAGGACTTGAATTACTAAGGCTGCTTTTCAGCCCCCTTCCCGCGTCCAGCCCGTGGCTGGCGGGATGCTGCCTGGAACCAGGAATGAACGGGTTTTCCTGGCCCACAGCAAGCAGCCCCGCAGTCCCAAGCCTGCCTGCGTACTGTGCACGGCGATTCGGCTCCAAGGCAAGCCACCGAACTCCCGCGACACCTCCCCAGCCTCCGCGCATCTCACGACTGAATTACCTTTTAGCTCACACACAATGTAATTTATAATGCTGCAGTATCACCTCCTGTTTCCAAAAAAACATTTTCAATTACGTTGTGTCCTGCACACTCCAGAAAATCCATGTCACGACGAAACCCGACCTAAGGAGCAGGTTTTCTAGTGCTTACGAGCAGGCTAGAACTCACACTGCACTCTCCTCAAGCCTGCAAGGAATTAATAGCCTATCCTCCTATTCGCACCTACCTCTTTTCATAAAACTTGCGGGAAATTCACTACCTTTGTGAAGATTCTCTGTTCTCACCACTTCAGCTGATTTTGGCTGATGAGTTCAGCAGTTTTGGGGGCCAAGTTAAACGCAGAGTGACCAAACACAACCCTTCTCAGAAACCAGGTTAAAAAGGCAATCCCTAAGGAATTACCACCACTTACCTTCTTTATAGTCTTCTTTTTTCTGGCCTGATTTCAGCTTTGCCAACTGCCTACATTAAGAAAGAGGACAGAGGAAAGGAGAAAATAATTCTTGTACAGAAGTATTATATTGCATCATACTGTATTGCATTGCATAGTTCCCCCTTAAGGCTGGAAACTTCACCAAGTTTACAACCTGGTGCTCCAGGTCATCCCAAGAAAAGCCTGGAGACAACAAAGCCCTCTTTGGTTTGGTTCAGATCCCAAGTCTGCTGCGTACCACATGCACAAAGTTTTCTAAGGGCAGACATTCCCCAACCTGCGTATCTTGAAGTCTCAACAGGGCAAGTAGTATCTCGGTACCCAAAGTGGTGGAGAGATCTCAAAGCAGTTGGGAAAAGATGCATGTTTTTTATACAAGCACAAGATTTTTACTATGAAGAGTGATTCTAGTTCCAAGACACTAGTATTGATATTAACACAATCATATTCCCCTGCAGATTTTTAGCTGCAGATTTATCACAATGTGACTCATTGTGCATGCTTTCACTTTTCATTCTATAAATCCAACAGAGATCAAACACTTAGAAATACCTTGTAAAGTGTCTTCGATTGACATTTTCACTTAATATTTCCATGCTTTTGTCAAAGCTAGAGTCTGAACTGGGTGGCATGTTTTTTCTCATTGATCTTAAACAGTGTCCATTGAAACATTCAATTTTGCCAGAGGAAAATTCCTAGGAAAAGAAATAAGAACATATTTATCTGAACCATGTATGCTGAGCTAAGAAGGAAATTCTGCCTCATTGAGGCAAATTTACTCTCCTGACTCAACAATGGTGAAACTAACGGCAGGTAAGCCCTGAACCACTTCTGCACCACGAAGTAACTCAGGAAAAAAAACCAAACGGCTTTCAAAGCTAAAGCTCCCCCCGCCACGCTTTTCTTCTAGACAACTTCAGCTTAATATCCTCTGAAAAAGTTGTTGTGACAAAGCCTTTCATATAAACTTAGCATTTCCTGAAAAAAAACCAAAACCTTTTGTTTAAAAATTGGTTCAGAGGAGCAGTCAAGCTTGACCTTGCACATCCTGGGATTAAAATGTAGTTCAGAGAGTTTTTCTCCTATCTCTGTTCCATTTATGACTGCATTCAGAGGGACATTAAAAGAATTCATTCGGAGGACGGCATTTATCCGCGGGAAGCCGAAGGGACTCAAGACACATGTTTTTATGGCTGTTGATCTTGCTCACATTGGCATTTCTGCAAGGAGGATGTGTACTCTCACTTTTAGTATGGGAGGAAAGCTGTGATGACCATGAGAGGGGGGCTGGTTCAGTTTACAACCCAAAGTTTCATTAAGAATACGCCAAACTACATCTCGCACTGAAAAGGGCAGAGAACAGACCAGATTCTTTTACTTCTTGACATTAACTTTACCAAGAGGTACTCCCATTCGTAGCTGAGGGAGACAACGACAGAAGCATGAAGAAGGTCGCTACAGGAGGGCGATGATGAACACGCAAGGCCCTTGCAGGGCTGCGCAGCGAGAGCTGAAGTGTCAGCCCCGAGCCACAGAGCTGGGCAATCCCGGTCTTCTCTCCAGACAACCTCGAACAAGCCGTTCCCAGTGTTCACCAGACAGCTTGTCGCAGTAAGACAGGCTTGTTGCACGACGAGAATCTCCATCACCTCTCCTTCGTCGCTTGTTTTGACGACCACCTCCCTTCCCGCAGTTCTCCGGGCTGGTGGAGCAAGGCCTCACGAGGTGCTTCCCACAGCTGGCTTCTGAATCAGGGCATCCGCAATGAAACTCCTCAAGGCATTTTCTGGTTCTTGAATCCAGCACAGATGGATGTAACGAGACGTAAAGCTTAATGAGAGGCAGCCTGGTCCGTCAGAGTCACCTTTCACATTTTTACTCTCAAAGGTTTAAGAAAGAAATCGTAACGGAAAGCCTTTCAACTTAATTTTTAGTTTGACAGAGCCCTAGGCTTATTTGAAAAAGGCAGGGTTTTGTGCACACTCACACACAAGAGCATATAAAAACTTAAACCAATACTTTCAGCGTTTGTCACTGACACAATGAGAAAAAAAAAACAACCCTAGACCAAGAAGTAATGAAGTTCTCTCACCTGAGAACATACTCATAGTATTCCTACAGCTGGTATGCCTGTGGCTTATATATCATGCTATAGAATCCACAGGCATGCCTGGGAACTACCCATGACATTCGGTTATGTCGTTAAAGGCTAATCTGCGTAAAGAAGGGGGGTCGTGCACCTCTGGGGCCTGCCCAGCCGGCTGCCAGCCCCTGGGGACACGCAGGCATCGGGGCAGCTCCAGAGGCGCTGGGTGCCCGAGACCAAACACTACAGGGATCCACATTACATATACGCATCTGCGCGTGCGTATTCTCCTGCTAATGGGTCTTCATCCCCACCAGGCAGCGAGGAAGCAGCATCAGGCCATCTGTGCGGTTCGTACGGCTGCCAGACACGGCCACACAGAACGTACAGCACTTTCAAATGAGGACGGCTTTTCAAGAAAGAGTCTTTATTTCTAAATACGTGATCGCTTGTGAAATTACTCCTCCAAAGCTGGGAGCAGCTCTGGAAGACTGAGCTTGCTTAAACTCCAAGATACACAAGTTTTAACTGCTGCTTTGGATATTTTTCTTCATTGATCTAGATGTAAATAAATATTCCTTGGGACAAACCTTAAAGGTTTGCCGTATCAGTTAAAAGATTACTGCAATAACACGCTTCACAAATCTCTGGGCCAAATCCCAGACTGAAAGAAGAATAAACAGAGAGTGTCAGCACAGATGTTAGGAAAAAAAAAAAAAAGTACAGCAACTGGGAAATCTTTCTATGTATACTTGTGCACTCATTTGCTTTCTTTAATGTATTTTTTTATGCAATCTTCACAATACAATACTTGTGATGTTCGTTATCCTCTGTACTGTCTTTTTACCTTAATCCTGTCTCAAATTAGGACACGGGCAAAGCAGTAACAATGTATATTGCAAACTCTGACTGTCCTCCACTCTCAGGAAGGCATCCCAGTTGGGTGAGATGGTCGGCACCAAGCACCACCAGGTTAACTCCAGCAAGCTGCCAGCAGAACAAGAGTAACTAACGTTCATCAACCCTATCAGGCTGAAACACAACACACTGAGGAAGCGAAACTCAGTTGAAGCAAATGGGCAAACAGGAAAGATAAGGCAACTGTGTGAAAGAATTTGTAAAGTATTTCAAATTCTGAAAGCATTTCATATTTTGTTACTTTTCTCATGCTACAGGAAGCGATAAGCAATCGTTTATAAAAAGTCTTTTCACAAAAACTGTGTTTAGCTATCTGGTATCTCTGGGGAAGTAACTCTGTGTCGAAGCACTATCAGAACAGATAAATGTGCTCTGGCAACAAGGCTGTGAGCTCTGATGCTGAGGTCCCTACACAGACGAGTCCTGAAGGCTCAGCCTGGGAAAGCACCCGTTTCCACTTTGCCCAGACAAAAAGGGAACTCTGGAGCACGCTGCCCTCAAATACAGGGTGCAAGACAACAATCCTGTTCAGCCTGAGGAATTACAGGAGGGCTATAGACCTGCAGACACCACGCTCCCAGGGGGCCACCAGCCACTTCGGGTCTGCCATGGGACTCCTTGGGACTGGAAACGTGGAAGCAGATAAACCCATCAGGTGGTGGTTTACCTTAGACTTTCTGCTGTATGCTCTCTACGGATGAAAGAAGCTGAATAAACGGCTTGCTCATGTAAAAAAAAAACAAATTTTTTTTAAAACCCTGCCACTGCCAAGTCCTTTCACGTCAATAAGTTAGGAAAGAGGTATTAGGACTTGCAGATGCAGCCAGCACCACCACCTCCGTCACCTAGGGCAGTCCTGCAACGCCTCTGCAGTCAGAACACTTGAGCAGAGCCCGGCCATCCTACACATGAAGTAAGAATGACTCCATGCCTGAAGGCATGGGAAAGGTCTGCAAAAAGGGGGGGGGGAAGAAACCAAAACAAAGAGGAACCTTATAACCAGTTTCATAATGATGACTCTGGTTTGGTTTCAGTTCAAAGTTGATATTTAGTTTCCTGGTTCCTGCTCTCCACACATGCCAGGTGCGTTATCTGCCCGACTTTGCACAGCCTTCCCCCGCGTGCAGCTGGACTCCCTTGCAGCCTCCGGCAACCGTTTCCAGCGCGGACTTCGCAAAGCAGTGACCTTCAAGCAGATTCCATGACTGTTTGCAAAGAAAAAAAAAACACCCAGCCCCCGCACCCCACGGATCTCTTCCTTCTTAGTTCAGCAGTCTTGAAATAACATAAAATGGTATTAATCCACAACAACTCGAAAATCCTGAAAGAGTTCTGCTGGAGGCAAAGAGGGTCCGCTGCGAGGAGCAGACCCCTTCTGAGCTGGAGCTGCTCCGCCGTTACTCCTCACGGTCCCGCAGGGGACCCGGCGGAGGAGAGCCCGACGTGGAGAGAGCGGAGCTGCGGCTTCGGAAGGCTACGTTAAAAACCACGAACGTCCCAAAGCGAAGCGGCTGGGTTATTACGGCTGCAACAGGGAGACGCGGACTGCTCGACGTCCTTCACCGTCTCCCAAGTCGTCTCCTTTCCCCCAGGGCAGATTAAAATTCTCAAAAAGCGTCAAGCAGAACTTCTGCCATTTTGGGTTAGGCGCCTCAGTGCCTTGACAAAGCGCAAACCGGTCCCGGTCCCCGGGCAGAGCTGCGCTTCTCCGGGGGGCACGCCTGGCCACGGGGCGCCAGCCTGGGGGCCCGGCGTGGGTTTTTGGCGTTTTTAGCACCCAAGCAGCGAGCGCTCGCCCCACCAGCGTCACCGCAACTAAAGCCAAGCGGTCTCTCAGACCTTTTCAATGTGACTTCTTATGAAACTGATTTAGTCCAGATAAACGGGGAAGGGGAAACAGAGAAACAGAAAACACTCGACTTTTTCTGGCTTCCACC